AAAATCTTAAAAAAAAAAAAAAAAGAATTACAACTATAAAAGCAAATTCTACTCCCTTTTCCATTCTTTCATTGAAAAAAAATCCCAAATACCAGTTGGAAAGTCCTTGAAAAGCAAAGGTTAAAATAGCCGTATTGTCCGGGGCACATTGAGCAGTATGGGTCACTAGCAAAGTTAATGTACTTATTGGGAATAGTAATTCTAAATCTTGTGTTTATGGTCCTTCAATTCTTTAGCAAAAGATTTTCTCTGATAATAAATGGGCTCCACAATTACAGGTTCCCAAACTTGCTACCTCTTCTTCTTTTAGTCAAACCTTATCCTTTCTAGTGTTACATTAAACAGTTCATTTAAAGCCAGTATTGTCAACTTATCCCAATGTAGGACAACCAAAAAAACCATAAGGAGAGAGGTCTTTGCTGCCATCTCACTTTCCCTACCATCTTATTCCTCCAGTTAGCTGACTCGATACTGACTGATAATTTAAGCTATGGCACCTTCTAAGTTGGAGGCTTATAAATTGGAGGCTATTTTAACATCAGATTCCAAGTGTTGTAGATAGCTGCCATTTGTCATGGAAGTGGTAAAACAAAAACAAAAAAAAACTTGTGCCACTATCCAAGAGCTAACAACATTCACCAGTCTGAAAATATCTGAACAAATTAGTTTCAATTCTGAAAGTGTGAAATCTATCATCTACTTGAAAGGGAGGTTTAAACACTGAACGTTCCTCTCAAACATAACCATCTTGCTTTCTTTAAAAGGAGGTAGCTATCAAACCATTAAATTGGCAGCATTTGGCATTCTTGACATTTTAACTATAAGAGAAATAAACTAATAAATACTTTATTTCTAAGCAAAAACACGAGCTCCAGCATAAATTTCTCCTATAGTCAAGAAATTCACAATACATTTTAGTAACGCAATGGATATATTCAGTTTCAAATGTTATTTCACAAATAACATGGTCAGTTCTATCCTAAATCTAAGGATTTGATTTAAAGGTGCCAAAAAACTACTTGGGCAATTTTGGTGGTTACAAACACTTATTTAAGTAATACAATCACACTTTTTAAAAATTCAAATGCAGAGAGCTACACTTTATTATTTTCAGTGTTAGAACTAGAGGATAATTTTTAAGGGTGGCACTTAATTCTACCTCTTTACCTGTCAACTAATACAGAACTGAACTGTTAGCCATAAGCACTTTACAAACAGATCCAGGAAACTATGCAAGAGACAATGACATAGCTTAACCAGACTCTGAAAGACAGATACATCTTTTGATCGCACTTGTACACAGAGAACAGTCATGCCTGTGTGACTAAAGTTCTCTAAACATCATTGCTATTTGTTTATGACAGACCCCTAGTGTGCCAGTTTTCTGTATCAGGGAGGAATTAAGGGGCATGTTCCTAAAGAACATGGGCCTACACGGAAGGGTCTGGGTGGAAGAGTGTTTTGTGGGAATGCAAATGACTTGTCACTATGAAGCAACTCCCAGGGTTTCCTCTAGTTTGAGGTTCAAGACAAAGGAGAGAATTGTTTCCTTCCTTGAGCTCTTCCCAAAGCAATATGAACATCTCGAAATCTATTCTAAAGCAATACAAAGAGATCACCAATTCTCTAAGAACACAATTTACATACATGTTGGCCTGCATTAAACAGAAAACAGTTTCCATATATGGCAGATTATACAGCTGTATGACCCATTTGGCTAAAAGTAAAACAAATCAGGTGGAACTCAAAAAGAAAGAAAAGTTCTTACTGAAGTCTCAAGGATAAAAATGAACACTGCCTGGCTAATGAACTCAACATCTGACAACAATTACTGACAGTTTTAAAATGTATATCCAAAACAAGAGGACCAGGTTTATTTATCCTAGAGATAGAGCAGCTCAAGATGTTGAGGCATCATTTGTTTAAATTATGACAATGTGAATGTCTTCAAAGTGTGTTTATTTAGGGGAAAAAAGTGATTATAGAAAAATACTTGAAATAATTTGCCAATGAGGTTGCAGAGTCTAACAACAATCCATATCATTTTAGATTTTTAAGTGTGGAATTTCATAATTTAAACAAATCCAAAATTTGTTTCAAACACATTGTATCAAAGAGCTATTCAATATACTTAATTACTTTAATTTTTCATAAAAACTGAATAAAAATCACATTTGAATGATTTACATTTTTATCTGATTGTATCCATCTGATATACTATACGTCCAAGTACAAGAGGCAGATTATCTTCTCTGAGAGGTGCAAGAGTTGTTCTTTCATGAATGCCCTCTAATAGTGAAACCAGCGATTTTTATATATGCATTCATGTGCATATATATGTACTTCAAAAAGGAAAGCGTCATCTCTTCATCCATTGTTAACTTAATGGTAAGACTGCAACAGAAAAAAAAAAGTAAACTTCTAGGTTTTGTAAATGGAGTTTATTAACTCCTGGCTGTGGCTTACATTTACTGCTTAATAAATCCAAACGGCAAGTCATCTCACTTACTTTGGCATCCAATTTACAAAAATAATTGAAGTTACACTAATGAAAGGAAGCTTTGGGGACACTTTAAGATTTTCTTCCCTTACAGTCGAGATGAGATGTTTGATTAATCTAGTTGGAGATCTGACTATTTTGTTAAGATTTTTTTTTTCCCCCTGAAGAATCTTTACTGCATTTGAATACTCACTTGGATTACTTCACGGGAGGAGCAGGGTGCTTTTTTCCATTTGGTCACATGTCCAAGACAGGCTCCTCAACTAAGGTGTAAACCCTACTCCAGCTTAGCTGACAGTAAAATGTGAAATATTACACGTAACTGTCCATGCTGAACAGTGGTATAATCTTGAGCTGAATGCTGCTAAGTATCTAACAAAACCTTGGCTGAAAAACACTTAAGGAGAGTTGCACAAAAGATGGGCCATGTTACACATTCACTGCCCCAGATGCTCTAAGAATCTACCTCTATATTAAGCCAGACAGGCAGAGACTGCTTTTAATTGTGCTTTGGTGTGATGCTATAAAACATTATTGAGAAATGTTTCTAAGAAGTCCAATGTAACGATCTCTGAGTTTACCTCAAGGATGCTGTTGAGGATATTGCTTACTACATTACAAAGTCTTTGGGGATCTGTGGGAAATTCTTCTTTCCATTTTTAGTACCGGGAATACTTGTGTTTTCATCCTTTTAAATGCTTTACCTGAAATCTACTACTACACACACACCCCAACCCGCCCCCCCTTCTTTAGAAAGTTTTAAAAGCTTCCTAATCTTCCATTCCAAGCTGGAGACAAATAACCTTTCCATTGTGCTTGTGTGCCTATTAGTGTATGTTAAATAACAAATTAAACACTCACATGGGGGGCACCAGGCATTGGTGGAGCACCAGAAGGTCCTGAAGGCACTTGGAAAGGATTGCTGGGAGTGGGATAGAGTCCTGGCGTGGGATAGGATCCTGCAGGGGCAGAATATGGTGCTGGTGGTCCCCAGGCTCCTGGTGGAACAGTGCCCCATGGAACAGGTGGTGCTGCCCCTGGTGCTTGGGGAGGAGGAGGTGCGGGATATGGCCCTGGAGATGGATATGGCATATTAGGGGTAGGATACTGCCCTCCCATTCCTGGTGCCCAGGGTCCAGAAGCCATGGATCCCCATGGACCTAAAGGACCAGCTGCAGCTGGATCAGTGGGTGCACCATAGGGTCGTGGAAGATCTGGAAAGGGCATATTTGGTGTAGGATATGGCCCAGTGGGGCCAGGGCCTGGCACAGTTGGGGCTGGATAAGGACCACCAGGTGGGGGGCATGATGGTCCAGAAGGAGGAAAGGGTGCCGGGGGTCCTGGAGGTGGTCCAGTGGGAGGCACAGAGGGATACATTCCTGTTGGTGCTGGTCCGAAAGGCACAGTAGAGGATGTTGCACTTGGTGGGAGTCCAGATGGCACAGAAGGTGGAGCACTTGGGTTATTCCAAGGGTTGGAACCTGGCCAGCCTTGGAGAGATTGGCCGGGTTTTGTATTGCTCGTAGCAGAGGTTTTGGCAGGGGAGTGTTCAGGTAGCGCATCTGCCAACTGAAAAACAAAACCAGCATGTCTTACTGATTTTATTTAGGGACAAGTCATGCCAAACATGGTTATAAATCCAAAAAAGATAGTAAGCTATAGGAGCAGGGATTATAAACCTCTCTTAACACCTTCAAAAGCCAACTTTTCAGCTTAAAAACAATTCATTTAATACAAAACTTGAGGGGTTACACCTTGAATATCAACTTTACAATGCAAATTCCTCAGAGAAGCTCAAGTTTTCTAAATATAACTAATCAACATATTGTGGATTTGAATCCTGACTTTACCTCAAACAAGTTACATACCCTCTCAGCTTTAGTTTCATCATTTTCAAAAAATAGTTTCAGGGTTAACCTGAGGCTTAAATGAGATAATTCATGTAATGCACTTAACACACTGCCCAGTATTTAATTTTCAATAAATGTTGGCTATTAATAACATCAGGTTAAAAGAGAACAGAAATGATGCTATTTAAATTTTTTACTTAAGGATTCATAAAGAAAGAAATACTACAGACTGCATTTTCAAACGTTACATCTAAGTAAATTAAGGCAAATAACCTATCAAAACCACATACCACTCTCTTCCAAAATCTAAAAATCACAAAAAGCATCTCTCTTACACTGAAAGACTTATGGCCCACACTTAGGATTATAT